CTGCCATACATTATGAACGCAGCCTTATAGCTTCATCTTGTGTGGTTTTTTTTGGTTCCTTGAGCAAACAAACGACGTGGCGTTTGTTAAATTTATGTTTTCATTATCACGAACCTTAAAAGGTAAAATAACCTTAATTCCTCAGTGTGGGATGATATTAAGTTAATTGATCGTTATTGAATCATGTATTGAATCATGCGAGTGTTATATTGTATTGTTGTGCTATATTTAATTGTACCCCTTTAATGATCGCGAAGTGAGCATCAAGAAAGAGTTGACTTTTACCTCTTCGAGCTTACGTCTTTGACAAGCTTCTCGTTTAATCTCGAAATATAGGCGTTCATTTTCCATCTTTAATTCTGCAATCTCAAGCTTTTCTTTTTCCCTTTCACAAACGAGAAGTTCCAGTTCTTCAAGAACTTGCACGACTCTCGGCATAAGATCAAGAACGGCTTCATGACCGTATCGATCAATAATCTTTTCTATGTCTTGACCGATTACTGAAGCCTGTTGGTATACATCAGCTGTGGTGAGATCYAAGGCCATGCTTGGAAAAATCTTTTAATAAACTTGTTCTCCACTAAGACTGATTGAATCTTTCGATTATAATAATGAAAACAGTTCCCAGGAAAGCACTAAAATAACACTTATTTACAAAGTTTATAGACAACTTGTTGAATGCAATAGAACAGGGTTACTGATTGGATAATAGTCAACGATGTCAGATAACTTAATAACTAACCAGCCAATAGGATCAGTATTTATATTGGATTTAGCTTTGATTTTTTACTTGATTTTTTACGGCGGTTTCTACTTGCGCAATACCAAAACRAATAATCGAGGCTAAAATAAATTTTTTCGAATGGAAAAAACATTTTCTTTAATATCCTGCTCTATTTAAGTAAAATGGTTGTAAAAATCATCAAAACTTGACTCCAAATGCAATGTCACATTCCGGAACACAACAGAGCATAATATGACGTCATTGAAAATATCCTCGATATATGATGGTCAGCGGTTTGTTGTATTTGGTGAACATAACACGAACTATTACTGTCCCTATTCAAGAATGCGGATGGAGTGAACGGCTCGAAGGTAATGTGATGATTACAACAGGTTTTCAAAAGAATTAAACGTTAGGGATCATTTTGATGGTTTCCAATTATGGATTTATTATACTCTACTGTATGGGAAACTGCGAAGAAGTCACAGAGGTAAGTAAGGAGTGTTGAAAATATATCTTTTGAATTCAGTGATCCTGAAATTATAATATATATTAAATTGTAAAGATAAGAGATCCTTTACCTTGATTTAAAAATAATCACTTCTAAATATGTCTTATCTTGAAATAGATTTTGATTGGTACAGTCAGTCTGTAGTTTTAAGGTAACTGATACCAGTCGATGCTAATTGATATAAGTCGATGTCAATCAATTGATTAATATTGGAATCGATAATCAATCGATGACACACATAGTTGTTACCTTTTATTGATTAGCAGGGTTGTCAATAGAAGCCRACAACCGGCAGATTCCGCCATCTACTCTTGCTAATTCGGCCGCCTAGTCAGCCAATTCCCAATTCTCTCACTTAGCTCAACTTACTCCTCTACATGTACCTCGCATCTCAAGAGAAGGTAACTCTATGACCTTTTTACAACCACATTCAAATYGTAATCAGCATGCAAATAGTGTCTTTCCTTGGGCGATCAATTAATGGAATAGACTTCCTGGAGTTATTGTTAATATCGGATGATATAAAATTTCAGGCCGCTCTGCGTGAGCACCTCATTGAAAATGGTTGGTGGTTTTAAGAAATTTTAGATTAGATTAGATTATTTATTATTTATAAAGATGATTTCAATTTCATATCTATTATTTATAGACTTGAATTTGAATTTGAATTATTTATTTTATTCATTTATTTTATAAGTTTTATATACTATTTTATATCTATTTATATATTAGCTATTTATTTATATTGATGTGATGTGTAAAATATGCTTTATCAATTAATAAAGTAGAAGTAGAACTCAGCCGTCTACTCAGCCAATTCTCAATTCTCTCATTAACTCAGCCGCCTACTCAGCCACTTCCCAATGTATTGTAAATCTTGAGTAAAGTTCTTTAAACTAGTAAAATGTGTGAATAAAATAAATTTTAGACCTATCTTTGTTGCTGTACTACGAAAACTGCAACACAATCGAAACTACAATGATGGTTGTCCACCATCTTGAATTTTTGCGGGAACGGTGAGACTAGTGACAAAGTATGTCTCGATTATATGCTCCAGTGATTTCTGGTTTACTGCCTATTGGAATTTCATAACTGCCTACCAAAATTTTTATTGACAACCCTGGATTGGTAATCCATCATTAACATAATATTGATTGTCATCCTTCGATTGATATCAATTACACTGTACCATCAGTTGATATGGATTTCTGATTGCTTGTCTTTCTCCCTAAAATTTCCATTCAAATCCATAATAAAACAGCGATAAATTAATCAGTGATACACAGATACCTAAATACGTTATTACGAAATAAACAGATTATAACTTCAAGAGTTACATGTCTTTTGAAATATTAGCATAGTGCTATATTATCTTATATCATCTTCTAGTAACTAAGGTGTATAATTCATAAAATAATCCACGCACAAATATTTATCCGTTTGTTCAGTGGTCATCAATTTCCTATAATTGATTGTCATTGATTAAGTACGCTGGGTCTACTAGCTTCAGTAAAGCACTCATGATCATATACTGTAATTCACATTTGGTGTATTTAATTCTCATTTCATTCTTATAATAAACAGAGATGCATGTGGTAAGGTTACAGTTAGTTGGTCTCATAGAAACTTGATAGCATTCACCTCAGGATACAAGAAAATACAAGATAATAATGACAAGTAAGTGTAGCCGAGTTAACTGGATGGTGRATATGCTGGCATGGAAATGATAATTATTATTAAATTAATACTAATGTAGAAAAAAGTTCAAAATTGGAATCATGAATACCCCTTACTATCCCTTATTAACTGTATAATTATATTTTGTTTGTATTACTTGGACTTTTAGTTATTTTATTCCAACAATATTCCATGCTTGATGGAAGCAAGATCATCTAAGTCATTGCATTATTGTGTTATTGTTTCAGGAAATGTTTGTACAATGCATTACATATATTAGACCCTGACACTCCTTGGGATGTTTGTAGGTAAGAATTGTGCTTGTAACATGTTTGTTAGGCATTACCAGTATAACAAAACAGAGGGCATTTGTTCAAATCTTGCTCTAAGCCTATATATTTATCAGGCTCCAATATTATTGACAGGGGTATTGAGCCACATGAAGTTATTACTTGGTTGATTTTGTTATTAGCTTTGATTCCCATCACAAAGAGTTGATTCAGAAGATTGTTTGGGACAGCACAGGAGCAAGGTTGCTTTCGGTTGATTTGCAAGGACAATGTAATGTGTGGACAATGAAGGTATATTGCTATTATAATTCAGAAGTTTATGTTATAAGTATTTATCATTAACACAGTACACATGATATTAAGCAATTAAGGATTAAATGTACATGTTAACTCAAAAGGATAATCTTGTTAATGACTGGCAATGCAAAGCTACAGCAAATGTTGGTGAAGGAGAACGGCTTGTAGCTGTTTCATGGATAGATAATGGCATTAAGGTAACAAAAGTTGAACTATTTTGTTATTCGTTTAATCAATGTAATTTTTAAAATGTATTTTTTGAATCTTTCTTGGAGAAAATTAAACCACAGTATCAATTTACTTAATTTAATCCTCATGAAATATTATTATATTCAGATATTAGGCTTGAGCATATTAAACTGTAATGTACAATATTAATTACAATCATTTTGATTTTTAATAATAGGTCATGTTTAGTCCCTCCAGTTCAGATGATCATGCAAGCAAACGATCGTTCGAAGAACAGTTTAAGTCAAGCAGTAACAAACCTCCTTATACAGAATTTGGTGGTAAAGCTCAAGATGGATGGGTTGCAGTAACAGAAAGTGGTCTGGTAAGATGAATGCATTTGCAATCATCTTTATGATATTYGCAATAACGATCCCACCAAACCAGTTTCCCGCCATTTTAATCYAGCTAACCATTCTCTTTCTGACTTCATTGTTTTCGGTCTTTCTTTGACTATCGGCGATAACAATGATTGTCGCAAGACCAAAGAAATGCGGCTTATTTACCTTTTGGGCACTCTTAGTCCCAACRGGATTAATGAATGCTTTGCTTTCAACTACAGTTACCCTTTCTTTTGTCTTTTGATTATTTGTTTTTGTTTCCTTGCCTACCTTGTTCTCAATGGTTTCTTTTGTCTTATGCTTATCATATAAACACTCCTTTCTACCACCTCTTACCCTTTTACTCCAAAATGTCAGTAAGTTTTTCCATCTTTTCACGGTGTATAATTTACCCTTTTATCATTACTGTTTAATTAGAGTTCAATAATTTGATTCCAGAGTAAGTGAGATTTAACTATTGTCTCTATGCACAGTTTTGTGTGACAACTCTCAAACCAGATGTTAAAATAGCAAGAAAAAACTTGTCCTCCATTAGGAGGCGTGTTGCCTTTGCTGACCTTGCATATACTAGCCGTAAGTAGTTACGAATTTATTAATTTTTTAAAATATTGCTGGGTAATTTTCACATCTTAGACTTGACTTGATATTTAACCTGTTGATTGTCAATGAGTAATTTCCTTTTTTTTAATTTACAGAAGGGAAAGTTATAGTTGCTGCTAATGATGGGGAGAAATCAACTTCAGTACAGTTTTATAGAATGCAAATCAAATCTCAGAACAGTATCCTTTTTAAGATAAAATTTGAAAATTAAATTATGAACCCTTCTGTCAGCTGGGAGTGAGTAATGCTCATTTAATAAACTCTTCATCTTGCAGTTAAAATTTCCTGACTCACATTAGTCTCCAGTCTTGTATTTTCTGTTAATCTAACTCTAAGTTCTCAATTATTTTCAATGTAAAGGATAAAAAATGCAAGACCCTCATTTGTGCTTGTGTGGCAGGGATCATTCATCACTACTTTAGCTTTGTCACTAAAATAGTCCATTCCTAGCTAGGAATAAAAATGTAAACTTGTAATGTAAATGTAAACCCACACTTACTTATACTTATGGAGTCACACAACCAATCTAAGACTAGTTATTTTTATTCTTGAAATGTATGAAAAATATTCCTTAATAATATCTTAAAGATACTTGCCAGATTGAGACATTTTCTCTTCCTTGTTTGTTTCCACATTCTAGAAGTGAACTTCAAGAAAGTAAGATGTAATAGTTACATGTAATAATTAATCATGATAAAGGGTACATTGGAATTATTTTAATCCATCACCTTTTTAACCTTCATAATCTGTATGTTATCAGATGAGTTTAGTCAACTCATTTACACACCCCCCTCCCCCAAATTTGGTCACCTCTTCACATAAATAAGATAAAATGAATATAAAAAATGAAAATAAATGGGAATTAACAGCGGTTTTACAGAGTGGATTGATGGACTGGATTTAGAAAAACCCTAGAATCACAGGGAAGAACCAGCAAACAATTCTTCTCACATACAATGCAGAGTCCAGGAATTGAACCCGGGTCACCTAGGTGAGAGACAAGTGCTTTCACTGCTCCCGGGGGGGGACAGGGGAGTACTCCGCCAGGATTTGGGTAGGGGTGTTCCGCTGGGATTCTGAGAGGGGTACCCTGTTTATGACAAAAAAACTCAAATTTGTAGACCCTGTTTATGACAAAAGATATAATTAATTGCAATGAGTTCGTGTTTCAATTATCATGTCATCTCGCGTATCGCTTTTTGAAGACCATAGTAACCAGTTTCGGTCAATTCGAAAGTAGAAACCCTGAATATGACAAGAAACTCAGGAAAAAATTTGGAACTTGAGTGAAATTGCATACCCTGTTTATGACAAGAAGCTCTAAAAACCATACCCTGTTCAGCGGGTCATCCCCGTATAGTCCATATATGGGAGTACCCCCCCCCCTTCCCCCCCAGGTCACTGCTAAGGTATGTCACCCTGGGGTTGCCACCTCCCTGCATTTCGTTGGAGTGGGAAATATTATTAATTATTTTGTGTGTATTTAGTTTGCATATTTTTTTATTTTACGTTCTATACTAATTTCTTTTGTTACAGTCTTTACTAAATTGTTTGGTTTTGTTGCCTTCTGGTATTATATATAACTAATTTATATGTTCATCTATATGATACACATTTATATGTAGTTTGTGTTCAGTTTCAGAGTACACTGTTAGTGAGATTCAGTTTTTGTCAAAGAATTCTGGTGAGATTGTACTGGTGTGCACTGTAGGTTAGTAAAAGTGCAGATGGAGTTATTGCATTATGAAATCCTGGGAGCCCCTCATTACTTTAAATCTCTAACAAAACATGGGCAGTATGTTGTAAAAAGACTGATATCAATACTAAAAATTAATATAGCTTAATTTTATTGTCACTATTAAGGGCTCTTTGGCACTTGCATMAAGAAGTGGGTCATGAGGAAAGAAAGAATTGAAAAGTTTCAAAAGGTAACCAACTAAGTTATTAATAATATTAAGCAAAAAGATCAGTTTTCATATGACTGTGAAAATCTCAGTGACATATGTTTGCCTTGCTGCGACTGTGATATTTTCTAGAATTTTGATTGGCTGATTCTTGCAGTGCTGTGACTTTGGTGTGTCGGGGTTCGCACTGTGTTCTTGCCAGGTTTTGGGTTGTTGATTGGATGGAGAGTAAATTCTTGCAACATGTGATTAGCTGGGTGTATACCTTGCTGTGTCACGACCACGTTCACACAACGAGCTATTCATGGTTATGTATACAAAAACTGCTCTATAAACCAGTTAATTATAAAGTCATTTTAGTGTCATTATGATTATAAAAGCATCAATTATAATTGGCCTGTGTTTAAAATTACGGGTCTGCAAAGTGATTGATCTTTGAAAGAAAGAAAGTTTGCTTTACATACCAACAGGTCCCATTCAGAACTTCAGCCCAGCCCACTGTATTTGTAAGTAAAACAATCATGGGTTAATCAGGGTTACTCAGCCTGTGTTTACAAACCAGTCATGTTTATGTATGTTGTTGGTCTTTCTAGAGATGGTCATGCTTAACTTCCCATATGGATAGTGCTCAATTGATATCACTAACCTTACCAAGATTGCCAGTCACAGTCGATGTATCACAGACCCTGATGTTTCCTGTTTTAGCAATAGCTGCTAGTTATGATGATGACAGAATAGAACTTATCAACAGGTTAYGTATCTAGTAACATAACAGCTGCTCCTGCAGCCAATCAGAACAGTTTCATCAAAACACACATTTTTTAGGCCAACCAGATGGAAAAAAAAAAGCATGTTACTGTGCAGGATGACCTATACACTAATATATCATATGACATTAAGTCAAGCCTATACCGTATTTACTGGAATAGACGCTGCAGCATTCATTTAATTTCTCATGATGCAGCTGCGGCGTTTATTTGGGGGTGGTTTTTATGCAAAAATCACTTTATTTAACAAGATTTTTTAATAGCAAAGTTAAGGACATACGATAACCTTCTTAACAGGTAACCGTAACAAATCTAATAAAAATATCATTCATAGTCTTACTTTGTTCTTTGTACAGTAATTTCGAACTTAAAAATGTTGTTCTAAATGAAAATAAATTTCCATTGCTGGTTTAAACTTGAAATATACTTGTTCTTTATTATTTATCATTATTATTATTTCCTCAAATAAATGCCACACTGTAGATGCGGCGTCTATTACTATTTTTAGTCCCAGGTGCGGTGTTTATTTGAGGGAAGCGTCTATTCGGGGGCRGTGTCTATTCGAGTAAATAAGGTAGTTTACCATTGAGATTTGAAACAACCATTCATCGTAAACTTAACCATGACATTCTTTTCCATTGCAGCCATACACTTTCACGAATGAGTTCACACCAGTCTCAAGCAAAGGGCATACAATCAGTGGAACCACGTAAGTTCAATAGTTTTTTGATTACACTCATTTCCTTTGAAATGCAGCCCACTTGTCAATTTCAGCAGACAAAAAGTTTGGTTTAAGTCACCTGTCATTCATAATGTAAAACTTCTTTCCTAAAGCCACATGTAACTTGGAAAGATCTTGATTTTTTCTTATGAGTTGCGCTTTGACATAAATGTAATACAATAAATAAAATAAGATAAAGCAGCCAAGATCTTAACCAAATTCAATATTTTGTTTTATAAACATTTTGAAAACTAAAGAAATAATGGTTTGAGTGAATTTGACATCAGATAAATGATGTCATTTATCTGTTAGCAGAAAAACCTACTGATTGATGCACTTGTCATGTCAAGTTGATTCAATATCACTGATTGGCTGAATATTTGCAGTCAACTGGAAACAAGATAGCAATTGAAATAATACAGCATGTATTAATCTCCCTACATTCTTTAAAGAAAGCACATCTTGTAACAGTCACCCTCTTGTTTCAATCTCATTGAATATAGCAAACATTTATGATGTATGCATTTTTTCCATCAGCAAGTAAGAAGGCCAAAACACATCAGCTAACCCAAACACAGGGTACCATGTGCTGCATGAGCTTTTCTCCTTGTTCATGTTGTCTGGTGGGTGTTAGTTGTACAGGAGACTTGTCTGTTTTCAAAATCCAGCCAACAGGTAAAAAGTAATATAATTATGTGGTGGAATAAATTGTTATATAATGCTAATCTTTATATTAGATTATTAATTTTGAGGGCCACCATGATAAATGCAAAGTTATATACTGGTGCATTTTTTGTTTTTTCAAATAAAGTTATTAGTGGAGTATGAAATGAGATCTCAGAAAAATCTGAGGTCCAGAAAGAATTTGAGCCCACAACTTTTCATGTTCTAGTTAGACTCTATAACCATTAAACTACTGGAAAGTCTATTGGTAAGCGTAGGTCATCCTTTGGGCAAAGTGACAAACAGACTGCAACTGCTAGTCTCTGTAATGTCAATATTATTTGTAAGATATGTGTACATAAAAAGCTGAAGAGTAATAATTATATGTTGCAACATATATTAATATCGAGAATAAAATTAATTATTGTTATATAAATATATTTTTATGCAATGCTGCCTTTAATTCTCAAGCTCTTATATTCTGGTCATAACATTTTGAAAGATTAACAGACAATATGTTTTTTTTATTCTAGAGGGTACACCACCAAACAGGTTTAAAAGAAATCTTGTAGACTTGATGGAATATTGCCTGGTAGCAGGTTGGGAATGGTGGGACATCATGGTTGCTGCTCATCTTGGTGCCCCAGCAGGTCAGTCAGAACATTCAACATTTATGTAGACACATTTCCTTTGATTAAGGTTCATACTTATGGCCATGTTTAATCTTTCATAGATATGGCCGAGTCTGTTCTCAAGCTGTTACTTGAAGATTTTAATCAGGTTCAGCTGTTACAGCAGTACATACCACACATGTTGATCCATAAGTTGATGGCTGTGAAGGCCAGTCTCTACCGGTAAGGCTTCATCATCAATAATCAATCAAACATCCTTATGTCTTGTCAACATACAGATATTGGTTCTTTGCAGGTGTATGAAAGATGGTTCTGGTCAAGCCATGGATTGCTATGCATCTCAGTTTTTGTATTCTGTCACTATGTTGTTTCGCTCACTACCAACTTGTACCCAAAACACAATGGAACAATTAACAAGTTAGTCTTTGTGCCGTTACTTGATAATATACCCATATTGCATTCTGGCTGATTAACAAGGCCAGCATATTATTGTCAGCACAAAAAGCTAGAACACAGTCCTCTGTTGACAGATTTACTCTCAGTACAGTTCCAAACTTTTTTACGCATTATTTAAGTTTGATCCTTTTATTGGAATATTGCCCCAAACTTTTTACTGTACTGCATATTATACAAATTTTAGAGGTCTGTACAGCAAGAACCACTGATGTTGATATAGACAAAGTCATCTTGTCTCTAGATAGCAAAGAGTACACTGTGGAAGCTGGTAAGTTATGCTTGCAAGTACATGATGATACGAGCTGCACAATGCTTTTAAGCTGAATGCAATCTGTATTATTTTCAGCAGTATAAATTGTATGTACACCCACCATTTTTTAACACACTGATAATTAATCATCCCTGATTTTTCAGGCATTCTCACTGCAGTTCATCCATTAATCCAGTGGATTACAGATTTAGCAATGTTTGTCATTGCTGCATTTACAACCCGTCATACCAAGGACTCTGTACCTGGGGTAAATATCCCTTCAATTCATCATATCATTTCCAATAACAGTAGTTCTCATAGGACATTCTACTTTAATTGAATAGGTTAGCCTTGGACATAATCCAGAGGTGCTTGGGCTTCTAAAAGAGATGCTGGTGTTGATAAAGATTTGGGGTCAGACGATGTCATCCATTGTACCATCAATCACCCCTTCAGCAGGTTCACAATGGTTCACAATAATTATATAACTATTTTGTAACATGTTGTGATAATTTTGATTGATAGTATGCCTCATGCAAATCAATTCCACCTTAACACACCTATGATATTAAGGATGTAAGCTAACTGTTGTCTTGTTTTACTTCTAGTAATAACACAGATAGTCTTCCATAAGAAGGAACTAATCCCTGTAGATATTCCCTTTTCCATCAAACCCTGTAGTGCTGAATAACTTGACATGTTTATGTTTTTGTTTAATCCAAGATAAGAAAGACTCGCTAGCACTGTTATTCAAGATTATAACCAAGATGTGGTTACACAGCAAACAGCCTGGCGAAGGGCAAGAAATTGAGGACAGACTTGCAGGTAAGCTATAATTGTTGGATGATGATAATGTGTAGTAAATGGTTCTATCAGTTTACTCTTTTATTTTGTAGTAGAGGCATCCCCACTGTTGCCAAACCAGCTTTTTGTTGTTAATATGAAAGCACCTAATCTTAACAGAGGTAAGTAATGCACTATTAGTTCAAGGTTCATTCACTTCTTTGACATCATGTAGTATATACTAGAATAATAATGTAGAATAACCTCGTTCCCAAGCACTACAACTTACCTATATTATCTTCTACTATTTCATTAGTGCCACGCGGTCCACATACTCTCATCTTTGCATCATAATTACCGCGACCTAACATCTATTTCACCCCGGCCTGCTCTCAGTCTGACCTCTAGCTCAGCTGGTAGAGCATCGGTAGTACAATTCCGAAGGTCGTGGGTTTGAATCCCAGCGAGGTCGGAAATTAATTTTTCCGAATTTAATTCCAAGGGCTTTCGCCCGGAATAACCTCGTTCCCAAGCACTACAACTTACCTATATTATCTTCTACTATTTCATTAGTGCCACGCGGTCCACATACTCTCATCTTAGTATATACTAACATTCATTATGGTTAAACCATTATCAAAGGTGTGATTGGTAAGCCAGTGAGTGGCCCCATTAAAGCATCAGTCTACCAGTTCAACAATCGCCCAATGGGTGCAAGTGTGTGTCACAGCTACCATCCTTTTGCTTCAGCTGTACTTCCTATTGCTCCGGAAAGTGCCTACAATTTGGATGTGATACGAAGAGTTTTTATTGATTCAGGACCAGATATACCGCTGAAACAGTGCACAAGGTAATATCAAAAAAGTTAATAATTAATGATGGGATGAGAGCTACAAAATAAGGATGTTAAGAAATATCCATTCACAAGGGCTTTTTAATGGGCTTATGTGTAGTGGGCTTATATTCTGGAGGGAAAGAAAAGAGTTTGAAATGAAGAGGAAATGATTATTGCTTTCCTTGATCTTGCACTCAATTTGGTATACATGTATCCTTCAGGGTGTTTGGCTTTATGACTGGAAGGATATTTGTAATAGCAGACTAGTGTTCTTATAATTGGAAGTGCTTATAATACCTGGAGGCCAGGGGACCTACATGTATAAACAGGATTTTATGATATCTAGTAAATGCATTATTTTAAATCTGTCTAATGTTTGACTGTTAGGTGCAGCTGTGTGTCTCAGTTAAATGGTCCATCAAATCAAAATATAGTACTAAAAACCTGGGAACAGCGCTGGGTCAAGTCCTGTGTATGTGGAGGGAGTTGGAAGAAATATCAAGTACAGTAGAGAAAAAAAATTAAACTTTGATGTAAATAACTACATAAACTACATGTCTATATTAATTTTAGTTGAAAGTGATGACTTGAATGTATAGAAAAATAAATTGCTACAGAAAATAGCAGCTTAATGAAATTGTTGGTGTTAGTTCGAATCATTCATCTTCTGTATTTATCTACTTAAAGTAAATAACCACATATCACAGAACCTTACTATTAAAATACTGTAATTGTTTCACTACATGGATTCCTTTTATTTCTACTCTAATTTGATATATTTACATAATGTAGTTACTTAATGTAATTCTAATCTTTTACCATAAAAATCACAAGTTTAAGTTCAAAATTTGTATCAGCTAATTTGTTTCCCCCCACAAAATAATTAGTACGTTACTCTGTACATCTGTACAAGGGTAGTAGTTATAAGATAAGTTAGTGCCCTAATAAGCACTAGTTATAATAATCACTTGTAAAATTACAACTACTGTACTGTATGTTAGCTACATTAAATCATTTATTCATAATCCAGCAGTTGTGGGGTTTTCAATATTTTTCTTAAAAGCTTCCAGCCATTTTGATGCCAACTCATTATCTACAACTCTACCATCACATGACAGAGTGACAGTTATAACTTTGTGTATCACTTCATCTGATGTGAACGAAAGACGAGTACCACCCACAGCCAAGACAGAAGTTTGAGGTGGGTTGATTACAGCTAAAAACTCTGTAATACCAAACATCCCTAGGTTGGATATTGTAAAAGAACCACCTTGGAACTCCTCTTCTTGAAGCTTGTTACTTCTCGCCCTTTGAGCCAGATCCTTAATAAAACACATTACAAGACAAGTTATCGCAAATATGTTTGAAGACAATCCCTGAGACATACTGTAATAATATTAATTGACACATATGTTTGAAGACAATCCCTGAGACATACTGTAATAATATAAATCGACACATATGTTTGAAGACAATCCCTGAGACATACTGTAATAATATATGGTAATTGAACTGAGCGGAGTGCAATTTGGTCTGAAATCAAATGCGCGATTACGAAATCACACGACCGTSTAGTGGGAAAAGGATGTGATTAATTAATTGACACGTGTTTGAAGACAATCCCTGAGACATATTGTAATAATATTAATGGACAAATATGTTTGACAATCCCTGAGACATACTGTAATAATATTAATTGACAAATATGTTTGAAGACAATTCCTGAGACATACTGTAATAATATTAATCGACAAATATGTTTGACAATCCCTGACACATACTGTAATAATATTAAT